AATGTTCTCGGGGGCAGATCTTATGTAACGACCTTTAAATCTATAATTGTTGTAAGTGCGATTTAAAATATTTGCAGACAGTCAGATTAAAAGAAGGGTCCTTTGGTACGGAAGTTGGTCGAAATCATCAGATAGATATATAATTAAAAAATTGAGTAAATACCGTAAAATAAGTTGATTTAGATATGAGTTGCCACAATGTATAAAGACATTAAAATAAGCATAAATGGAGTATTAATTATGATTATATTCCAACAGGAGAAATCAAATTTTAGGAAATGAGAGATAGATTTATTGATTTTGTATGAGGAGAAAATATAGGAGATGCACCATTAGTCTATTTATCACTAGCGGTTAATAATGTGTAGAAGAATAAAAGCATTGGGAATTGAAACATGTTCAACTGGAAAAGGAAGTCCAAACAGTGTTGAATTCCATAAAGAATTAATAAGAAAACTAACAAAGCCTGTTTAGCATGAGGTATTGAAATTAGACTGCCATTTATGAACAAGGCTTGGATTGAATATGTTATGTGTTTTTGATCCGAAATATAAAATGAAGAATGCCTTCCAACCATAAATTGAAAAATATATATTAAGAAAAGCCTTTGAAGATCTAGATAACCCGTTTGTTCCATAAGAAATTTTATGGAGATAAAAGGAACAATATATGGATGGTGTTGGTTATACCTGGAGAGAGGGACTTATCGAAAGAGCTAATCATTTAGTTTCCGATTAAAATTCGCTCAAAACCTCAACCACTTATCCCGTATCAACCACTAGAGATAAAGGATAATATTGGTTCAAATAAGTTTATTCTCCTGCCTATCCTAGTGATAGTTCTTCCTTGATAGTAATCAAATGTCACGTCTAGAGCTTGCTCTAGAAGTCTATAAGCAATTTATCTTTAAGGCCTTAGAATGGGATGAGGCTTTCAAGAAAAATGCAGATAAGTCTGGAAGAGCAGTCTTCTTAATACACAACTATGCACTCAAGAAAATCCTACTAGAAGTAGACAAAATAAAAGATGAAAGCTTCAAAGTATACAATCGCTATTAGTTGTGATATGCTATAAATATTAGTACATTAAATAGTTTGAGAAATTATAATATTAATGATGATATTTAAAATAAAAAAAGAAGGGAGCATCAGGGTTCGCACCTGAGACCTACAGATCTGCAGTCTGCTGCTCTGCTACTGAGCTATACTCCCTAATTGACTTTATTCAAACACTCTAGTTATATATAGATATTGCATTTATTTTACAATTTTTTCTAATATAAAATTATTATAATCTATATAAAGGCAGCATTAATAACTTCACCTGCAAATTTAATATAATCCAAATTTACAGATTACAAATACATTAACTTAAGAGTGTAACGAACAGGTATCTATATAAAAGAAACAATAGACTATTCAATAGTAGAAATACTAAGATTAAAATCCATTAAGTTAAAGTGTTAACGATTAGAACAACTATATTGGTAAAAAAAATATTGATTTATTGGCTCCTATTTATCAATATAAAAGAAATAAATCGCATCAATATCTATATGACTTTTTATAAGTTGAATTCTCTCACTAAAGCATCCTTATTTGGATAATAACAAACTTAAATAGAATTTAAAACCTAGAATTTCATATCAAATTGTCCTTATAAGTTAAAAAAGTAAATATAAATGATATTAAAAAAATGAAATAAAATAATTAAACTATTGAATTAGGACTATCAAATTAGAAAAAATGAGAATATAAAGAAATAAATAAACAGAAATTATAGAATATTTCATTTGCAGATGGTTATAATTAATTAACGATGTTATTTAATAGAATTCTCATCTCTAATCTCATATATAATATTTTAAAATTCTTTATTTCTATTAATATTTTATTAATGTCTCAATTTTCTAAGCAGGAAGATACCTATACCAACGGAGAATTTATCATTCATGCATCATAATTGATCAGTAGGGGACAATTTGATTTCATGCTGTACGAATAAATACAACTGGCCTCCC